CTGAGATACAGAAAGACAGTTGTCGAGCTCTAACCAACTGAGCTACAGAGAGACAGTTGTCGAGCTCTAACCAACTGAGATACAGAAAGACAGTTGTCGAGCTCTAACCAACTGAGCTACAGAGAGACAGTTGTCGAGCTCTAACCAACTGAGTGAGCTACAGAGAGACAGTTGTCCAGCTCTAACCAACTGAGCTACAGAGAGACAGTTGTCGAGCTCTAACCAACTGAGCTACAGAGAGACAGTTGTCGAGCTCTAACCAACTGAACTACAGAGAGACAGTTGTCCAGCTCTAACCAACTGAGTGAGCTACAGAGAGACAGTTGTCGAGCTCTAACCAACTGAGCTACAGAGAGACAGTTGTCGAGCTCTAACCAACTGAGCTACAGAGAGACAGTTGTCGAGCTCTAACTAACTGAGCTACAGAGAGACAGTTGTCGAGCTCTAACCAACTGACCTACAGAGAGACAGTTGTCGAGCTCTAACCAACTGAGCTACAGAGAGACAGTTGTCGAGCTCTAACCAACTGAGTGAGCTACAGAGAGACAGTTGTCGAGCTCTAACCAACTGAGTGAGCTACAGAGAGACAGTTGTCGAGCTCTAACCAACTGAGTGAGCTACAGAGAGACAGTTGTCGAGCTCTAACCAACTGAGCTACAGAGAGACAGTTGTCGAGCTCTAACCAAGAAGTTCATGCAAGCCAATGCAAGGTATATGAGTTGAAATATCAGAACGGACTATATGGCATCTTCTGTGCTGAGTGGTTATATTACTCTGAGTGAGCTACAGAGAGACAGTTGTCGAGCTCTAACCAACTGAGTGAGCTACAGAGAGACAGTTGTCGAGCTCTAACCACAAGTTCATGCAAGCCAATGCAAGGTATATGAGTTGAAATATCAGAACGGACTATATGGCATCTTCTGTGCTGAGTGGTTATATTACTACCTTAAAAAATAAGCAGAAACTCGACGTTCTGAGCGAAGGCCCTTCACTAACTCTTGACGAAGGGCCTTCGCTCGAAACGTCGAGTTTCTGCTTATTTTTTAAGGTAGTAATATAACTACTCAGCGCAGCATTTTCACATTGGTACTACCCACACTGGTACAGACAGTTTTAGTGTACATATATGGCATCTTTAATATTATCTGCACGTCTTTGAAACAATGTTCACATCAAGTGATCAAGTCGTACCTTTATTGCATAAAGATGCACTTTATAACATATGACGTCTTCGCAAGCATCCTGTAAAATTTAAATTTTCGATACAATAACTTAATTAATGATCAAAAATGATTAAACTGATACGAAAAGTGTACCTCAACTTGAATACGTGTTTGACTGTCAGAGGTGATTTCCAGATTTAATGAAACCTAAACAAATTATATTTAGAAATGGAGGAAAATTGGAAAGCAGCGATGGCTCAAAAACATGTAAAATTATTAATAAGAAAACAGTTCTATTGTTAGGTGAGACGAATATGTACTACCTGAAAATGGTTCTTTTTCTGGCAGATAAAAACGCTTTCTGCCGGAGAAAATGATAATCCTTTATCGCACGTAACAACAAGCGACGGAGTTGTTCTAAAAATTGAGTAAACGACATCCTTGAAGTTTGCAAAATCATTTCGGGAATTTTTAATGAATTTACATGAATTTTCAATGAATTACAGGGGGCGTCAACAATTCGGTCTAGAGAAGAATTATTAAAATTTATCTAGTAAAGCCAATGTTAGGGTTGTTTGAAATAAGAGGAATCATAAAACCGATTGCTACTGGACACAACTGACTTTGAAAGGTCCATTCATTGAGTGGGCCAGACTTTATTTATTAAGCCAGTCAAAATGTTGGTTCTACCAGATCAATTTTAATAATCTCAGTGTCAAAATTCATTTCTTAGATTGAATCTTCAATACACATTAACAACTAGCTTTGGCCTTTGTGTAAAAGTCTGAAACACAGCTATTGCATATTATTGGCAGTCTGAATTACCATTACAACCTAAGCTAATCCTAAACATAGCCTATCGAAGGGATGATGGCTGTGAAACTCATTAGAATAACAATATAACTCATTATCTATGTTAGTCAACGTTTATTCATAAATCTGGTCCTTTCACCGTAACGTGTGTATTGTATTTTTACCAAATCCACCAATAGCAATTTCCAGTTCCCCTATTGTTCGAGTCACGGATAGGTAACTTTCCTAAAACATTGCTATTGGTTAGTTGGGCAAAAATACAATACACACGTGACGGTGAAGAACCAGATTTATGAATAAACGTTGACCAACATAGATAATGAGTTATATTGTTATTCTAATGAGTTTCACAGCCATCTTCCCTTCGATAGGCTTTGTCCTAAACAACACTCACGGTTCATTAAGAGATGACGTGAAAAGTTTGTGACACCCATCAGTTTTATAGTCACTCCATTTTATCGTCCTTTGAGGAGACAGTTCTTCGTGATCAGTCGCTAACAAATGAATTCAAAATGAATATATTGAAAATTAGTAACATATACTCTATTGATTTTTGATCATTCAACCAAACATAATATTACAGCACAGTGCTAATCCGTCTGTCCGGTATCCGCCTATCCGGTATCCGTTTGTTCTGTACCCGTGTTTTCTACCATGCCATTCAACAAGTCAGATTTCGTGGAGGAGAAGCGTCACATGTCTGTTGGCAAATTGAGTGGGTCAAAACATTCTGTCTCGAGTGTTCATTGTTTTAGGGATAACCAGATAAGTTGTTAATTGACACAACATATGTCCCGCCTCCCGGGGTGACGAAATGTGGCGTCATAATAGTAGTTTTTTCCGGCAATCCCATAAAACCGTTTACGTAACCAAATAAAATTATCGCCGTGACGCCGTCAAGTCTGCGGTTGTTTTGATAATAATTAATGTCTTCATGGAAAAACAAAAATTCAGAGAATCAATATTTGTGAGAAAAGGTAAATATTATTTGCAGATGGCCAGGACGAATTTCAAGACGCCATCTACAATAAAATTAAAACAACAGGCAAAGATTTTAAATGGCTAAAATGGTTGTATAAAATGTGCTGTAGAGTAATTTTACTTTTAACCAAGAGATAAATTTGTACAATTGAAATTAAAAAAAATTAATATTTGAAAATGTTTCGGACTTTGTACTTTGCCCTCGCGTGATTGGTCGTGCTCAGACAAACACATCGTGGCCGTGGATAGGGGTCCGGGAAATATTCCATTTTAGAAACTAGAATAGCGATTTGGCCCATTTCCAGCGTTTTCAGGATCAAAACAGAACCACAAAAGTGTGCGATATCGATTACTGCTTTTAAGCCTTTTTGCGCAAGCTCTTTATCTTTCGATTTTGGCAAGAGAAAGACGAATTAAAATATTATGATGTATACATGTGTTTCAAATACACTGGGGGCGAGGGAGGGAGAAGCTAGAGGAGGATGAAGGCGAAAGAAAGAGAGCACTTCATCTGGTTGAAACTGAATGTTAGAGAAGATGGATTATTCTAGTGAAGTGAGGAGAAATACTAACCAGAAAAAAACCCAACAGGAAATACACCTAGGAACAGTTGCGAAAAATACAACACTAGGTCCTCCAAATACACTTGGATTATCCATCTGCTCCGATAATCTAATAATGCACTATCACTTGTGCAATATGAACTGTCACTTGAACTTGCGTAAGGTCATATATGCCAAAAAATACCTTAATTAGTCCTGTTTCGTTGACTCTGACGAGGACTGATTAGTCAAGCATGTTCAATATCGGATTTAACCAAAATGTGTTGAAAATATGCATGTCTAATGTCCGAAAATATATGTTGAATAACCAACAAGTGCAATATAAAAAGTGTGATGTTCAAATTAACTTTAATGTGCAAAACATGTTGAATGGTGAGCGGTAATACGATGCCATCTTACTTTTGCAGTGGTTATTCGTCCTAACTTTCTTGACACTGTTATTTTCATTTCTTTCATCCAACAACTGACTTTTTCGCTTTAATTCTACTAAAGGACTAAAAAACATACGAAAATAAGAAAAACTTGAAGAAAGAAAGGTGTAGTTGTAGTGTTTAATACATAGACGTGTCTGCCCGCATTTCAGCGGGTGTTTTTTATATATATTTATATAAAAGTTGCATAAGAATACCAAAACACGGAATAAAACATTTTTTTCCCGAAAATATGCAATTCAAAAAAAGGTTCCAGTATTATCAGCGGTAAACATGCTTCCGGAAACTTTTACCGATATTTGCCGGTAACGCCAGATGCCTAATGCCTATACAGGGTGTATAAAAAAAAAGGTAATCGAACTTCAACGCGCTATTGTATCTGAATTACTCTGCGTATGAACGAGATCTTTTCACATTCGGAAAGATCATGCTTTTAGCTGTTGAATGATATCTTCTTCATGCCAAATGGATAAAAAATGAGCAAATACGAATCCGATAAAAAATGTTAGTCAGAATCGCATATTTTCACCGTTGAGAGTTGGGTCTAAAACCATTGAAAATGAACCCCCTTTGGTACTTAAGTTGATGAATTTCACTTCATTAAACGACGCACATATTCATAATTATTATTAAGTAGGAATAAATCTTAGCTAAGCTACGACACGTTCGTGATTAATTGCTTTTTCTTTTGTTATGCATTGTTTTAATTAGGCACAGAGGTGAAAATATGCGATTTTGACTAACATTTTTAATCGGCCTCGTACATGCTTATTTTTTCTCCACTTGGCATGAAAAGCATGTCATTCAATAGCTAAAAGCCTGATCTTACCGAATATGAAAACCAATTGTTCATACGCCAAGTAATTCACGTATAATAGCTAAATAGCGCGCTGAAGTTCGATTACCTTTTTTTTTATACACCCTGTATATGGCTATATATAAGTTTGGTAGTTAATTAAATTGTAGTTAACTCTAAAATACGTAAATTTGATTGGTTAAAGTTCTCACTAACTGTATATTTCTATACAAAAAAAAAATACAACAGACATATCGGAAGCAAATATTTATTCTACTAATCAACGTATAACCGTACTTGGTTTGTCGCAAATAGAGTTCCAACTCTGGTGCATCTGTGAGAAAGCTCTGTGCAAAATCTAAAAATATCGAATGGATGATTGGGCATTGTTTTTGTGTCAAGAAATGCTCTAGTGCTGGACTATAAGATTATATAGGGTTGTAATGCAAGCCTCGGCAAGAGGATCCAACGTTTGTCCACCTGTGGCGCGTAAAATAAACATGACCTGACATGTTTCACTTGGAAGCCTCAGGATAGAAGCGTATAATCGTTTTAGTAATTGATATTCAATATTCCTGGGGACTTACGTCGCTAATTTCCACTAATTTTGACTGAAGTATCATATTATTACCACAAAATATTCATGTTCAAACTTGTAAAATTTAAATAAAGCTTGATGTATATCTAATATTGCTCCACCCCAGATCTCGAAATTTGTTGTGACTTTTAAAAGACTCTTTATTTACGCAGCCACTATGAGACAAATCATAAAAAAATATGAAATGTCTATAGCTGCCATACTGAGGTTGCCACGTTGTTTTGAACTGGAATTAACACGGAAACGGGAACCCACTTTTGAACTGTGCACCACTTTTTGAAGCATCAGCATAGCATCTTACCAGCTTCTTTTAATTCAAAGTTCTTATCCACAAACTCCGTTGGTGTTACTGGACAGGAATTTGGTGGACTCAATGGCAAACTGGGTTGTTCCGCCGGGAGAAACCTAAAAACAAGATCGGTTACAGTCCATTTTACATAACATTTGTCTAGTATTACGAACTTCGTTTCGATCGCAAGTCGATTTGTTGAGATATTCATTTTTGTCAAAATTGGAGTGAATATTAAAGCAACGGTTTAGACAAAACAGATAGTTTTCCTTGTGTAATGTTTTGACAGAACAAAATACCCATGCATAGTTAAAAATATTATGTGACAAGGATTTCCATGATGCTTATCTATTTAAAAGGGATAGATACTTGCTGAGAAAATCGCATCTAAACATTGAAGTATAATATTTATTGCGCAAGTTTCCATGTAGCATGGTTGCTATAAGGATTAATTTGCCGGCACCAAACACATTTCTCTATTCATATAATGATAAGAATTCACATTATTGTCTCACTATTCTGAATAACATATATCCAAAGTTACAACAAGATTCTTCTCCTTGCAAAATTGCAGCAATAAATCGGTTCAGTGATATTATATTGAGGCGTGCAGAATTTCACTGAAATAAGGACGTTTATGGAAGGACGACAATTATACAGAAGGAAAAGTTAGTACATACGTTTCAAATGTAGGATGATCGCCGTCGAGATATTGAGGGCCTTGCCAATCGTCATGTTGAGGGTTTCCTATTCCCTCTATATAATAAAGTGTAAATATATAAATAAATATCTTGGTGAGAGGAAGGTCATGCGATATAAATACGAATGCATCGCGTATCTAGACTACGTGTACCAAACTGCATTGACGAGGCGGATAGTACTTCATAAGAATTTATTCACTTTATTAATTATTAATTTTATTCAGCTGATGAGCGTGGCAAGCATTGCTTGTCATACGAAACAAATTTGTAGGGAATAAATCTTATGAAGTAAATCAGGTTTATTTTATTTTATCTTTGATATTAGCTCTATACATATATATCGAGCACTCTACTCATATATGATTCTAAATACATATTTGGTATATATATACAACACATGGGAAGATCTAGCTCTTGACCGAAGTGCCTGGCGCTTTAGCGTGAAGAGGGGAGCAAAGTTATACACGAGGAGAATCGTATCTGCAGTCTGGCAAAACAGAAGAGGGCTAAGCGAAAGGAGAGAGAAGCATCGGCAGCAGCTCCACCCGACCGTCTTGTCCGGAATGTGCAAGGACGTTCCATGCGAGGATTGGACTTGTCAGCCATCTTCGAACCCACAACACTCAACGCAGAAACTAGTAGAGATGAAACTATGGTCATCTTCGACATCGAAGGACGAACTAATAATAGAGAGAGATGATGACACATATTGAGTTATTAGAGATTATTAAATATAATCTATAATTAATTTAGTCACAGAAAATCCAGAGATGGAGAAATAAGAACATTTGGAAAAATGATTGAGAAAGGAGTCATAATAGACGCAATTCAAAATATTCAATATCGAACTTTCTATTAGCCCCATTTTATTAAGGCCATATAAAATAAATTCCTTGATTCTCATCACCGCCCGACGATATTTTGGTTTCCGCGTTGATATATTTTTGTATTTTGTTATAAAGTTTATATTTACCGCCCGACCGAGCATCTTCAGAGATTTAGTTACTTTTATATTTTATATTGGAATTTTTGCGATATAAAATTGTTTTATCGTTAATATTGCAACATGTTAAGGGATGCTTGGAATACTGAAGGAAAAAATGTGCTTATAGCCTTATTACAACGATTTGTGTGGACCCTTATGCATGTTCATTAGCGCATGTGCAATTATCCACTTATACAGGGTGTATCAAAAAAAGCGCAATCCTCGACTGAAATGTAAATTGCTAAACAAATAATAGACGAAAACGTTAAAGTTTACATTCATTTTAAAGCGTAGCCATTCAGCTTTCTAACAGTGGGTTGTTTCTTAAATTTGACTCATTGGTTCGCGGGTAATAATACTTTACGTTATTGCGATTGGAGATTAAAAAAATTGAGATGGAATAACAAATCGTTCTCATGAAAATAACTGATTTTTTCATTAAAACAAAAAAATGTTGCATTTTAATAAATGGATTGTAACAATAAGTATAATTACGGCTTTTCTTCCACTATTTTTAACACAGTTTGAAACTTCAAATGCGATATAATTTTGGCTTGGACCATCTAAGCTGACTGACATCAGCTTGCTATAATTTCTGTTTACATTACATCGCAATTCGATGACGCTCTTGCTCAGACACCAGAATGTTTTGATTCTATGATTTTTAGCATTCGTTTAGGATTTTCAAACAACCTGGTCTCTTTTAAAATACTTTTAATTTGTTCTTACGTGGTTTTCCAGATGTAGTGACGACAACATTAAAGTTTAAAGAAGAAAATTCTAACATTTAAACCGACTAAACAATAACATAGTAAACTTGCATAATTAAACAGCAACTAAAAATGATAGGTTTTACTAAATCTTTTCCTGTGCAATTATTACTAGCATTGGAGACAAGGATAATAGTTTGTTTGAAAGAGAAAAGAACAGGCTTTGAAGTGAGCCTAAAAGCGTTTAACTAGAAATAGTATTTCGAAAGTTATTAAGCACAAAAGATGAATTGCGTTTATTTTGATACACCCTGTATAGCGTTCTTCTATAATATATTTAAGGGCAAATATAAAAAGACCTCCCTCTCCAATTTTTTAAATTTTAAACTTTTTTTTTATATTTTGACATAAAATATAAAATATAAACCTCCCGCCTCCTGGGAGTTTTTAAAATTTAGCGATGAGAATCAAGGAATTTATTTTATATGGCCTAATAGACCGTTTGTGTTTTAATGACCATGCAAGAACCGAGCTTAACATTTAAAACGGTAACTCCGAAAATAAACATTTTAATATTCTAGCTTTCGACTAAGATTCAGTCGTCATCAGGAATTATGCTAGGTTGATGATGAACGGATCTTAGTCCGCGAAAGCTAGAATATTAAAAGGTTTATTTTCGGAGTTACCGTTGTTTTATATTTTATTAAAATACTCGGTGGTTCCCGTAATTTAAGGCTTAATATTTTTTTATTAAAAAACGATCGACGTTTTGGACTTTACTCCAGATTAAAAGACTACAATATATTGTCTAAACGCAAACTGTCTATGTATAGACAATATCATTCCTCATGAGATAAATGGGCTATTCCCAACGAGATTGACGATAAAACTGATATCGCCACGCCCCTCATATGATAACCTATACATATAAAAAATCTAGAATGACCAAGATCTTTCAAGGAAATCAAATCTAAGCTGGTGTTTGATTTCAGCCGGAGACTAAGGGGACTGTCTACCCTAATTTTGGTAAAAATGGACGTTTGTGAAACAGGAGGCAATTTTAAGAAAAAACATCTAATTATGCATCCAAATGAGAATGTATCTTGAATATTGGTACTTAGACCGCATTACAAAAATAGTATTTAATTAACTTCAGATAGCATCATGGGGGGTCTACCCTTTCCGAGAAGCCGAGTAATTGGAATATTACAGTAAATCTTTAAGTCAACGAAATATAACTTGTTGAATAAAGACCCTGGGATTAGGCTTAGCCATTTTCTTTCGACAGATAACTGATTCAATATATTTGAACCCAATCAGGTGTATAAAACCAAGTTTAAAGCTTATATACTCGTGTGTATAAACACAGTAAATACTGAAATAAATCTAAAGTAAATACTCTTAACTGTGCATGTGTGCTCACTGTTTCCCCTCAAAAAGCGAAGCCTTAAATGATGAAAATATTAATAAAATTCCGATTCTTTAACGCTTTCGAAGCCCCATTCGCGCATTTCATTTCCGTGACAAGCTGGCAGTGCAACAAGTCGATTGTCAAGCAAATAACCAGAAACGTTTTAATATATTTCTTGCGATAAATTGAATTTCAAGAAACACTTCTGTTTTGATAAAATCTTATATTATTGCATGTAGAAAAGAAGTGTTTGATGATTTAGCTTGCTAAATCGAGTTATTGATCGAGCTCTTGGAAAGTTGGGGAGTTCTCAAGCACTAATTAAAGCTTTTGTCACGTCTGCAAATATTCGAAGTTCTCCCCTTCCAAACAAAGGGTAAGTTTCGCTTAGTTTTAGTTGCATTACACATCAGCCTGCAAATTGCATTACTGCACAAAACATTTAAAAAAGAAAATATACATTTTTTGACAATACATACAATGCTCTTTTGTTTCTTAAATTAAGCCTACCTCCACCAATTTCGCCATGTTCAGAGAAAAAGTCCAAGCTAATTGATCCAATATCGAAGTCCATCCTTAATTATGTGTTTAATTTAAGCATGGCTTTAATTTAACATTCAATTTTTCCAGTGATGTGCTAATGTGTTACGTACTGCAACATCCAAGCTCTGTGGGATATCGCTTCGGATAAAGGTTATATATAATTTTTCCAGATCCCTGGAGGCTTCCGCGGTTTCTGTGCGTTTGCAAGTCTGTCAACAGATTGGACTCCAAGTAGTCTGTTCCGGCAGACAAGGACTGGCATAGTGGACTTCGACCCAAAGTACGAACAACGCAAAACTGGATTTGTTTTCGATGCAAAAATTCGCAAGTAATGTTAAAATATATAACTTCTCTCAGTTTCACCAAATTCTGAGAAAAAACTCAAGTTAATTGATCCAATATCGAAGTCCATCTTTAATTATGCATTCATGCAGGGACGTCGCTCCTGTGGGGGCGGGGGCTGTTTAGGGGGGGGGGGGTTGGAGAAGGAGTGTAACACCCCCAATAAATTTTAAGTTCAACTAAAGTTGGTCCAAGTTGAAAAAATTTGGTGAAAATAGTTGATCACTAGTTGGTTTTTCAAATTTGTTTACATTGTCAACTAACTATAGTAGTATTCATAATCGCAAAGAAAGTATTTGGACTCGCGGGAAATTTTCACCTTGTGAAAAAACCCCACCTCAAAAGCAACTCGTATCCAGAGTCCCAGGCAAGGCGTGTAGTGGAATGAGCCTGGGTACGAGGTTGCCTCAAAAGCATTTAGTTTTTCCATCACGAAGTCAGAAAATGAAATCAAGGTATGGCTTTCATTTATTTTTCCAATGATGTGTTAATGTTTACGTAATCTGAGAAGGATTATATGCATGCAGGTTCTTACAGGTTTTGCGGTGTTGCACATCTTTCAGCACCCCATCAGTACTGAAATGACGATTTTGGAGTAATTCGAGGCTACTACTAAAAAGCGATACAGCGATACAACGATACAGCGATACAGGAACCGGAACCTGGAACCGGAACCCGGAACCGTGCATAATTTATGCAAATTGCACCACAGGAGATATACATAATAATAATTTACAGGGGGGGGGGGCGGCGCAATTCAATGATAATATACAATATTATTGTAGCACTAAATATTACGAAGTAAAACATGTTTCGTAATTGCGCGGCCATTCTTCTTGTCTGTTTTGATATGACTGCATGTCACGCACTTAGTTTATTTAGCCGCCGCACTTGATTATGAAATGCCAGCAGACAGAGAAGGAAACCACGGCACGCAAAGCAGATTGCGCTGAATTCACTAGCAATTCTGCCCTAAAATAATTCGAGTGTAGTGTAGTGTATGACGCAATCCAACTTGTCTTGAATGTGCTATATACGTTGCCGCCGGAATACGCGAATATTGCGAATATGCTTATTTGCTGCATACTACTGAAAAATATCCGCTTGACTGACATCGATCACAAACATGAATGAAGTTATGAAGGTAACTTCAATGTCAAAAATACATTTAATGAATTAATGATGAAAAATTGAAATATCTGATTGAAATTCAGCGTCGAAATTCACTTAGCCGTGTCTCTTACCCTATATAATATATAGTACTATCAAGTACCGTTTCCGACATTATAAAAGCAATATCTGACATTGAAGCTGTTAACTTGAAGCGACTTGACATGGCCATGCCAATGTATTTTTTTACATTGAAGTTACCTTCTGACATATAAACTTCATTTATGTTTGTGATTCAGTGATGCGGTTCAGGCGGATAATTTTAGCATGCAGCATATTTATGTTATTTATATATATTCGCAATATTCGCAGTGTATATATAGCATATTCAATGTTGGATTGCATCTTACACTACACTACAAATTAATTTAGTGCACAATTGCTGCTGAATCCAGCGCAATCTGCTTTGCGTGCCGTGGTTTCCTTCTCTGTCTGCTGGCATTTCATAATCAAGTGCGGCGGCTAAATAAACTAAGTGCGTCACATGCAGTCATATCAAAACAGACAAGAAGAATGGCCGCGCAATTACGAAGCATGTTTTACTGTGTAGTGCTACAACGATGTTCATCTTTGTTTTGTTTAAAAATCAAAATGCCTTGCATATAATATTGTATTTTATCATTGAATTGCGCCCTCCCCCCGCCCTGTAAATTATTATTATGTATATCTCCTGTGGTGCAAAATGCTCTAATTCGCATAAATTATGCACGGTTCCAGGTTCCGGTTCCAGGTTCCGGTTCCTGTAACGTTGTATCGCTGTATCGCTTTTTAGTAGTAGCCGTAATTCGAGTACTTCGGCGACGTGTTAGTTGAGAGCTAGCAGGGCGCTTATACATACAAGCGCACTGAGAGCTAGTCTAGTGATAGACGTTATAACTTACGCAATGCACCTTTAACCTTATAACTAAAATTTTGATCTAGACAAAAATTTCATCACAGCTTGAAAGAGCATCACAAAATTAGTAATATTCCGAAGTTTCGTTACGAAATGTTGTAAAATGCGGATAATATAGCCCTGCGAAGTTTGCAATTTTCAGTCATTTTAGATTACAAACGGGAAATTGACACCCAAACACCCGATTTGGGTACCACTTTCCCATTTGTAAACTAAAATGACTGAAAATTGCAAACTTCGCAGGGCTATATTATCCGCATTTTACAACATTTCGTAACGAAACTTTGGAATATTACTAATTTTGCGATGCGCTTTCAAGCTGTGAGGAAATTTTTGTCTAGATCAAAATTTTAGTTATAAGGTTAAAGGTCCAGATATAGTGGTTCGATGTTGTGGAATAATCTTCCATCTGAGCCTTCTGAGGCAAAAATGCAACCTCACTTTATTCTTTAATCTTTATCAATTTAGACGTCGCATTCCTAATCTGCCGTTTACTGAATTAACTGAAAACACATAGAGTTGAATATACTGTATAGTTTATATAGACTGGCATAGATGGCCACGTGTATACTTGATATATACTTTTTTATAATGCCATGTAGTACTAGTAGTTAAATATTGCAGCCGTATTTGTAAATGAATTGTTCTCGTATAAGAAGATATAAAATGACGCCCCTCCTGTACACTAGCTTAGTTTTCAAAATTTAAAGCTCGATTCAAAGTACGAAAAAGTGGATTTGTTTTTGATATAAAAATTTGCAAGTACAACGTTAATCAATTAACTACCTTCTCCGAGGGCCCCCTATACCTCTTCACAATATGCTTTCACGTAAAAATATTTTGCCTTTTCACGAGTCACGGATTAAGAAAATCAATAGAGGGCCCGATCACGTTTCACGGCTAAGTAAAATAAGCCCTTCACGCTTCACGCAAAAAGTATAGGGGGCCCTTCCTTCTCCAGCTTCACCAAATTCTGGGGGAAAAACTCAAGTTAATTATTGATCCAATATCAAAGTCCATCTTTAACTATGCGTTCATGCACACTTTTGCACTTTAATATCACGTTTCACGGCTAAGTAAAATAAGCCCTTCACGCTTCACGCAAAAAGTATAGGGGGCCCTCTTCTCCAGCTTCACCAAATTCTGGGGGAAAAACTCAAGTTAATTATTGATCCAATATCAAAGTCCATCTTTAACTATGCGTTCATGCACACTTTTGCACTTTAATAAACACAAAACACATTAAAGTATATCGCCTTTTTATAACATTCAATATATTCAGTGCATGATGTAATGTGTTAATTATGTAACATTCATGAAGCTCTGCGGAATGTCGCATGTCTAGATCCTCAACACTTGTGCTGTGGTTTTGCAAGTCTGTCAGCACCGCGCAAATTGGCATGACAAAATTATATTTAGCCCAAGCATAGTTAATATAATGAGATATTATATATATCTCATTATATTAACTATGGCCAGGTGAGATTCAGATTAGACCTCCATTTTAATCCGGCACAATAGGTGGACTCAAAGAACGAAAAACGCAAAACTGGATTTGTTTTCGATATAAAAATGTGCGAGTAACGTTATTCATCTTGTCGGAACAGTGGAAAGTGAAGATAGAGCAAAACTTCTATTTATTACAGCGAGTAGCGTCTAATTATCACTTGCTCCTACTTGTCCCCTTGTCAGCCGTGAAAGCAGTTTAGGTAACGCGTTTCCGTGTTCAAGTGGAAGGTCAAGACTGAAAGGCTCCAAGGAGTCCAAGGAGAACTAAGAATTAAAACGCTTTAAAGAACAACTTATATTTTATAGGCATCTCTGAAGTTTTCAAAATATTGCGACGTAAAAACCGATATTGCGATAAAAAAGAGAGTGGACGTTATTTCTGGCGTTCTCCCTTGATCATGATGGTGTTGTTAAATGTGGTCATGCAATATTAAGATGCTGCTCGCTGCAATAAATATAATTGCTTTTGTATCTTAGTACTCTCGAATGTTCTGACAAATGATGAATGTTTATAGACCACCAGGTCCATATGAGTCCACAAGGCCAGTCCTTGTTTTGTTATTTTTGTACTTGTAATATGTTCCAGCTCATTTGAATTTAGGCTCTTGTTGAACACACATACGAATAAAAGATTATTGCAACTTTTTACTGTCAAAATAACTTAAGCAGAATGAGAGAATTGAAATATGATCGTGAATAAATATTGACAACATATTGATCATTTTAAGCAAAGAAACGCTTTGAGCTGTCTTTTTTATTAAATGACGCTAAGAACTTAGCCGGTTAATTAACTCAATCAAGCGGAAAAGAGTTCAATCATTTTGTCTAATATTCGTCCTACATAAAATAGACCATGTTATACACTAGCTTGCATTCCGCTGCTCAAGCAAATCAGTTTTTTTTTAAATATTAATCTACATTATTCAACTTGTTACAATCTACATAATTCTGGCTACTGTGCTGCAGTATTCATTCTTGCCCAAGGCTAGTGAATTACAACTATTGCATACAAAATGTAATACAGGGTGTATAAAAAAAACGCAACCTCGGAATTTCCTAAGAAACACTTTGCAATTCTTAAGCATAAAATATTTTAGGCCCCTGGGAATTGAAAT